ATCATGTCAGTGATTCACAACGACAGACAAACTGGAATGGAGAGAGGAGAGCCTTGCACCTGCGATCTTGTCTGATAACACATCAAGTGCACACTCGAGAGTTTAATAATCTGTAGTGGCATTGGACAATAACCACACAATCCTCAAAGCTGAACACAAGACTACTCGGAAAATAGATTGTAAAATGTGATCGATAGACGAACTCACCAATAATAAAAGTTAACGCCCACCATCACATTAACTCCCTTTGACCTTGTACTACTGTATCTCATTATTAAACAATCACAGTTTGATGTTCATTGTAAAGCAATATTTGCTTGTTGACTCATTTTTCCTATTCTCTGGCTACTGTTCGGTATGTTATTTGTCTGTTTTTTCCCTGTATTAATAAACCGTACAGTTTGCTTGTACACTAACGATGTTAATTTATGTTTTAGAAACAGATAAAGTTTATCTAGCCAAATAACTTGCTTGTTCTGACTTCGGCCAAACTAAGACTCTGTATTCGACGGCCTAGAGAATAGCACAGAATTAAACCTGTAGGAAATTGCTCCCTACATACATATTCAATATTTAACGCAGAGAAATACCAAACGATGGAGAAGGCACGAACAAGGAAATGAATTAATTGGAGTTGATCGGATGGCATGGCTCGGCCATTTAAAATTAGGTCTATTATTAGAGCAGTACTAATATTATAGTAGACCATAATCCTACACTGGTAAGCCCGACTAAAGAAACGCAACCTCTTATTAATTATAATCCTTATTTCCTCTTTAACTTTCTCGATAAATTTTATATTTATGTTAACCCAGTATTCTAACAGTCCTCTGATTAATGCTCACATGCATTATCGTATTGTTATATTGATTAGTTCTCATGACAAGGTTTAGTAGCATTTACATGATTCAGCGACGTAGACTTGTTTAAGCGTCAATCTCTAGCAAATATCTTCATTCACTACAGATGATTTCAGTATGTTTCTCTATCAGTTGCTCATTCAGTAAACATCTGAAAACCTTGTCAGTCTAGTTGATGGTTTAGCGACACAATCATGCATGCAAATAATCAGTATAAGCGGTTGAGCAAATCTCCTGCAAACTGAAAACATCAATGTCGAATTTACCCCAACACTGACTAAGGTTCAAGCCATTATCATAGACACGAGTTGGTAGTGTACTCCCCCTGGTTACAACTTATGTTCTCCCTGATAATCACAAGAGCATCACTCACTATCAATCATCTTGTAGAAACTTATTTAGCCAAATAAATCTTGCAGCACCACATCACTTAGTAATATGACGCATATGCTTAACTGATTTCAATAACTTATAATCACTATATCTCAATTGAATCGTATTCCGCCTTATGATAAACTGCATACTGGCAACTAACTTGTACGCCCAATCAGCCGGCAAGTATAAATATAAATGAATAGTCCGCCGCAGATCAGAACATTGAGTCTGGAGCATGTCTCTTACGAATACACTCATGTTTAACGATTTGTTTCTAGCTATCTGTCCGAAATTCACATAATTATCACTCACGTACTTAAATTTTGTTTTGATAACCATTCATGTGTATTAGTAGTATTACTAAATTCTATCACGGTCAGGTAAACATGGGGTTGAGAAAATCTCCCCGTAACTAAATAAACCGTATCAAACTTAACTGGAACACTAGTTGGAATTCTTCTCCACGGTAATACTTTTGTTCCTTCAGTTAGCCTACTAATACAGATGCAATTGGAAATCGACTCATATGAACAACTTACCGGCATAATCGTTATTTAATTTCATGATTTAAACCAAAACTAATACCAGTATTAACATTTCTACAATATTCATTACTTTAATATTTCTAAACACAAAATACTTACTACCTACAAGTTAAGTTCTTAAACAATGGCTATTAACACACATCGTTTTATTATTATTATTATTGTAATCCCATTTTTTTATAGCTCAAATAATCTTCACCCAAATTTTATTTTCAAGCGTGTTAAGCGTGACGGCAAATATTTTAAAATTATTACATGTATTTCCCGACCAGATGCTGCCGCCTTCATTTTGATTTATCTTTCAGCTCATCAATATCCGGAGGATTCTTATTATCCTTGGTAACTTTCGGCGCGCGACGATCCCATCCAATTTGGTATCGAACCAACATCACGTTGATTCTGGTGGGAAAGTAATGTAATGGCATTAAACCATAACCACATAATCCTCAAAGCTGAATACGAGTTTACTCGGAAAATAGATATTCAATATTTAACGCGGAGAAACATCGAACGATAGAGAAGGCGGGGAGAATGTATTGAATGAATTGAAGTTGATCGGATGGCTTGACTCGGCCATGCAGGCGTGGTCCTTCTGAATGTTACCTTATGTCTTCTATTCATATTAAATATATTGTTCTTTCTCTAGCCTAACCTTGTTCTACATCATGTATTGGGGATTGATACGATACAGTGAGTTGGTGTAGTCGATGGTGTGACTTCCACGTTATATCTTATACATTAGACAGTTATATCATCTACAAATCTAGGATTAGGTCTATTATTGGTGCAGTACTAATATTATAGTAGACTATAATTCTACAAATCTTGACGAATCTGTATGGCGCTCAGTAATACTGTCTAGCATCTCGTGTTGTATAGATGGAGTTATCTACAGAAAGCCCACTGCTGACGTCAGGTATGAAAATAGTGTGATGTAGGGATTATCCCACTCTACTGGTTTCGGGTACACTCATAATCTGATGGTACGTGACTTCAATCTTCCTCAAGTCAACCTCGCTGAACAAATGTACACTGAAGATGATGGCTCTACTGAAACTCGGTTCTTCAACTTGATTGAAGATCTGAAATTACTCAAGAATGTTACGTTGAAAACTTGCTGCGGAGACAGTCAAACGCCGTCGCACTTGGAATGTGTATTTACAAATGGTGAATTCCTAATGGAGAATCTCTCACTCTCGACTCTCCTAGGTGAAAGTGATCATGCCCTCATAGCTTTCAATCTTATCAACAAAAGTGAGCCTAAACGTTCCACCGACAACATGCGCTGGAATTCAAAACGGTTGGATTTGTCATCTTTACAGGACAATCCACATCAGGTGAATTAGAAATTTCCCCTCAACTTGATGTTAATGCTCATTTTGGTTTCTTTCTGCTCGTGTTCTTATGTCCTATAAAGTAGTCTGTTCGGTGAGCGGTCTCTAAAATCTACAAGCAACCTAAAGTCATCGAGAATTCTACTCTTGATATGCTAAGACGCTAAAAGCACTAATGTGTTGAATACAAACGAACTAGTAACAACAGTGCACATAAGCAATTCAGATAAATGAGGAACATACGTACAAAGGCAACAAGAGAATATAAACTTCAGTTTCAGATAAAGCTAATCGATAGATTTGTCTCCGATCCGAGGAGCTTATTCCGTCATGCATCTTCTCTCTTCGACAATCCAAACCGGAGTTTTCTAACTTCTAGCTTCTAATGGTTCAATTAACAGTGAAGGTGACGCCACTAGATTTCTGACAGAACAGTGCTCCAGGAAATTTCAACTATGTTGATGAGAGCTTCATTTGGAAACCCACCGGACTTTCAGAAATGAACCTGAGGGCTGGCTAGGCATATCAGAAACTGGAGCACTTAAACAAGGACACTTCTGATGACCCCTATATGGTCAATCCTGCTATAGTGAGGTAAGTGGCTTCGATCTTGACGACACAGCTCAGCCTGATGTTCTCACACCCGTTAAGCTTAGGCACATTACCAGGAAATTGGAAGCTTGCTCACATCAGACTAATTTTCAAAGAAGGTCGACTCAGAGAAACTTCAAGCTACCGACGGGTGGTTCTTCTTTCTATACTCTCAACATTGATGGAGTCCCTGATATGCGACGGTATACACGACTATTAATTATCCTTAAACTTCTTTTCACCCCAACAGCCTGGTTTCAGGAATGGTCAAGATTAACTTTACCTTATCTCAGACTGCCGAATGTCTTAGTGGGGTCCCCATGGGTCCAGTACTAGGACCTCTTCTCTTCTTGATTTATATAAACGATCTTGCACGACAAGTATCGCCAGATTTTTTATCTTTTGCTGATGATGTGAAAATCTGAAGAGGATCTGACTCGACCTCAACGTTCGGCAGATGACAACGGACTTACCTTTCATACTTCGAAATGTAAAGTAGTCCATCTGAGACGTGTTTCAGAATACAAATTCAATTTAGACTACTTTACTCTAGAGGTCTCTCAAGTTGAAAAATACTTAGGAGTATTGGTACCTTGCGATCATAAGTCATATGCTAATTGCAACAAAAATGCCTTCCGAATAAATCTTGTAGTGGTAACGTTGAGGTCAGTTTGGCCGGTTCGTCGGAAGAACTGTCCACATAATCTTTAACTTATTTAGAGTATGGAAATATAGTACTTCCTCCTCACTCTAAAAGGATAAGGACACTCTGGATCGCATCCAACGAAATCAGTTAGGTTCAAGTCTTGTGAAAAGCGCCTCCAGTCACCGAACCCTTATCTACTGGAGTACAGGCGTCTTAAAGGCGACTTCATAATGACACTACTGGACATCTCCTTAAACACCTATCTAAGCTCAGTCCCAACACAAATCTTAGAGTTAACACCCAAAAACTAAAGATACAACACAGCATATGGACTTTAGGCATACCTTCTACTCCTTAAGAGCAGTCAAACCATGGGATTTGTTTCTGGCTGAGTCAGTCCAAGCGACTTCACAGGAGACCTTTAAGAGAAAACTTGACATATTCTTAAGGAGTATTGACAGTATTTCACTTTGATTTACCAACTCTTATTCTTTTTCCTCTTTTGTCAAAAATATACATAGGTTCCCACCTGAAGGCACCGGCGGTTCACCGATACTAGGTTCAAGAGCCCATTAGGTAAAGGGTTCTTCTATTCCATCTAAAGTCATTGAACCATTTGAACAACTGAATCAGTTGATAAATGGAGGTATTTACAGGTGTTGCGGTACTTGTTAGTTTGGTGAGCCTTGTTACTCGCTCATAATTGCAGTTTTAAATGTTCTATTTTCAATTAACAGGCAGTCGTACTCTTTAATTAGTTTAAAAATACAGTTTTTTTATATTGTTTTTGCCTGGATCTGTATGTAAAAGAAACTAATGTGTATGAATTATCGAAAAACACATGAAGTAAAAGTATGCTAGACTGAAGAACTTATCAGCTAATCATGAGACGTCGTTTGGCTACAAAAAACGTCAGAAAAGGCAACGAAATTGTTGTAGAACGTTCCACGACAATTGTTATATGTAATTATATTGTATTTATGATGTAACTGACTAACCCTTACATGCTGAGTTATTTATTATAGTTGTAAAACAAGATTCACTTTAAATAATAGGATTTAGACTTGTGTTGTGAGTAGAGCCGGTAACCCTATAAAGTTTTCTCTTCACCAACCACATCCTCCGCTATGGGAAAGGTGAGTGTTAGGAACGATGAGGTCATCTGTGGTTGTAAGTCAGGATTACGGGCCCGGGCTAGAGTTTTCACCATAGTGAGGCATCGGGCATCATTTAATAAGCTTGTCCATACGTTTGCTTCTAAAGTTGATGTTAGGGATGAGATTGAGTTAATAGTAAAAGTGGGAGCATGGCCTAATTAACGTTTTGGCATTATAACTGACGTCAGTTTCTGATAAAAACTCTTACTGTAGTTTTCAAATCCATATTATTATTCTGATCTCACGGATTTATAATCCCTTCACGACCCCAGTATGTAGTTGACTTCTCTCAAGGTCACTCTGGTGTCCCCTAATATTCTTCCATTACTTTTAGTTTAACCGTCATCTAGCATTAGTTTGGATTCCGATCTCCCAGTTGTGTCCTTGAAATAATTGTGAACAATAGAGTAAAATCATTGGTAACAAGGCCCGAACTGTTTGTAGTAGCGCAAGTCAAGTCTTAAGCATACCACTATTCACTAGTTTATGCTCACCGATGTCAATTGTTCTTCGACTCTTATTACTCAATCCTTCATTACGTGCGTTTTCATAATCTTTACGTTCTCTTTTTTCGCTTCCATCAACCTTATTTCCTTGTGGTACGAGGTGTGAAAACTGAGATTGTTGAGTGTCTGTATCAGGTCTTATGTTAACGTCTGTATGTCTATCCCAGACATAGCTATTTAAAATATACCCTTTATGGTCAATTCTTGCCATAGTATAGCTTATTTAACTTGGCAGGTGTAATTTGTTATTGCGCAACGTGGCTTAAAATCAATCGTAGTTACATGTACTTATTTTTCTATCTTGAAGGACTTGAGTTCCAATGTTATCTTTGTCCTACTATTCTCCCATTTCATTCGTTTTATTGGTAGGAAATCCAATATTTACGGAATGTACGGCAGTAATGAGCCAATAAGGACTTTAAAAGTCATTGTTTTCAAACTTACAGGTCCCGTTTGTAAAGTTGAGTTTTTAGATCAAAAGTTCCGGTTTCTAGGGGCTGGTTCTCAAAGACGAATTTCTATAAAACATCGTCTGTTGGACATGAAATAAACATTTTTGACTGCTAACTAGCTGACCTTTTAATTTGAGCCTTATTAGTTGAAATTGTGCTTGTTTTATGTTATTGCATGTTGTGTGGAATCGTATTCACGAGTAATATATGATATAAACCACAATAACAATGGAAGAAGCAGCTTAGTTAGGAAAAGTAAAGCCAGAAATAATTCTTTGAGTCAAAGAAGTTACGTTCACTTTTGCGAATAAAGTAAAATAAAGTTACAACAGGACCGCCACTAGTTTTTATTCTGAGCCATAAATGATAACTTCTCTAGCCACATTAACACTAAGAAGGTGCCAAAGGTGAGCCAGATTGGAATAAACCGCCCTGGCTTTCATAATACTTGAATTTATCCCATCAACCACGTTACCGACGGCACTTAGCTACCTAGATACACAAACTTCTTGACTACTTTTATCGAAAGGAGCTGACTCTTCCCATCCTCGAACGTACCAGAGAATTAGGGGGAAATATTTAAGGCATATTATAGTATAGCGGTCAGCTTCACACAACTACATGCATACTCGAATTTCTGTATACATAAATAAATCTAACTAACTGCTTAAATCAAACTAAGTGCAGGAGACCTTAAATTTAAGGTCGTATGCTCGAAATTCGAGTACATTTACCAGTAATCCGCCACTTCTCAAACTTTCCGTATCTCCAAGCAATTATTTTAATTCATTGTCTACTACTAATTAGCTTGAAGATGAATGTTTCATCTAATTATCTTGTTCCCATATGTTATTAATACGATAGCTTAGTGGTTAAGGCGTTCAACTTTCAGCCACTAAGCCTCAGGTTTGAACATTACTTCACTTCGGTTTAGGAAACTGGGTAATGTATCACGTCCTTACAATTAGTTTAGCTCGAAGTCAAGTACACTAATCGGTACCTGGTCAATGGTTTAAATAAAATTTCCAGCTGTTAAAGTGTATGGATCTATGCAGTTGTTTGTAAATTTATTCAACTATAATGAACAATGTGGTTTCGAAAGTACACAACTAAAGTTCATGAAGAGAGATAATATGAAATAGTGAGATGAGATTAATTACGGATTCATATCGTATGGGTCGATAACAGTCCCATTGGTTTTCTGACGAACAGCACTTTGTTACACATGTTTTTTCATGTTTATTTGTTGCATATATCCCAATACTTTTACTTAGTTTCCGTTTTATGAATCCACATTACTTTTTCGTTTAGAGGGCGTAAACAGATCAACATCGTTTTGAATGATCGAATAAGTATTCCAAATCAGTTTGACAAATACCGATGTATGTGTATGTTGACTGTAATGACAGTTTATTATAATCGAACAATAAACTCATAAACCGAATCAAGTAATTACGATTTTTCTGTTAAAAATTTCATTTATTTTCACAGAACATTAGATACTAGAAAAAAGATTTGATATTATATAAACAATGTCTTGTCGACCTCAATTAATTGGCAGATCACCTTTGGGACAATTGAAGTCCGAAGGATCATTAACATCGTTAGTATTATTGTTGTGTTTTACTTTTCAAAATATATTCGTTAAATATATTACCGATAGTGATAGTATATTATTATTATTATTATTATTATTATTATTATTATTATTATTATTATAGATTTTTATTACTACTGCATCTGTTTCTCAATGTTCTATCCCTTTTTCATACTTTAGAGGATGTAAATATCATTCATGTCAAGGAAAACTAACCATTCCAAATATCTGTCAAGATTTGGTATGTCAATTCAAATTTACTTCATATAGGAATTTAAGCTATCAGTTATAGTGTATATGCTTTAGAAAATTTCATAATATCTTATATTCCTTTTTGTTAACCAGAGAAAGACTAATACTGAAGCTTAACTAATTCTTCTTACTATTTCTTTGTTTCTCTTCTCTACTCTATTATATGCTTTTTTAAGCTAACTATCCTCATATACACTTCATATTGCGTAATTTTAGGAGTTAATTATATTAGATAATTTTAAAAAAACTTTAATCTACTTTTACCATATCCGTATATCCATTCATATTATCTTACTACTTATTATTTGTATGTTTCTATGTCTATCACCTTACAATCGACGTATACTTTTGCTTATTATTAGTAGTTATGTAGTCATTTTTCATTGTTTCTATTTACTGATAAGTTGTATTGATTGGTCTTATATTTTCAATGTATATACATAGATATTATTGTATCTTAAAGTTAAGCTTTCTGGAAATCTAATTGAAAGAAATATTTTTATTCTCCACTAGTCAGTTCACTAAAATTCGGAAATTATATCTCAAAGTGAGCACATGACTGAAGTTGATGATGTAAACCGTTAAATCCCAACTCACTATTCTGGAGGTGGAGTCGTTGATGCCCGCTACTAAGGTGTCCCCTATTAGGAGTAGCTCTTTAATGCTTCCTGGCTTCTGATAGTTGTCTAACTGATGTCAGACCTTGATACAGACCAGGAAATCCAGCCATCTCCACAAACCAACTTCAATGGTAATAATTATGTGGTCACTAGTGACTTATTTCGAGAAGTAATTCCTAGATTTTCAGTCGGATACTGTGATCAGTGTAGTCTACTCATGTTAGATGTGAGGCAGTTATTCACGAAAACAATTTTATCCACCTATATGTGCTGTTCGAATTTATTTCCACTTTTTTATGCCCTTTTTTTCGAATTAGAAATTTTCAACTGAAGATCTTATGGATGAAGGAGAAATTGGTCGAGGAGCATATGGATTTGTTAATCGTATGGTTCACAGACCTACGAAAACAGCTATGGCAGTTAAGGTACATACATATATAACTGATAAGTTCGTTTCTCCATTTTTTCGTGATTAGTTTTTGCAATTAACGCAAAGATATACTGCCTGATACAAGATTATGTGACTTGAAGCATTCCTATGATCTCTAATGATAATTACAATCAGACTTACCATTAATCTATTTTAGATCTTAAAATATTTGTTCAACGTATATATTTATGAAATCGGGATTTTATTCTACTGTAGATGAGTAGTTAAAGAGCAGTGGTTTGGTGATTTTAAAGCGCTCAGCTTCAAGAGTCGCTCAACCCACTTTGATTTTGACAGTCGGTTAGTATCGTCAGCTCTCAAATACAAAACATTTAACTAAAAACGTAGTGGATAAACCTGTCAATCAGTCATAAGTGATGTAGAAAATATAGCTAAAGAGTATCGGTTCAATTTATTACGCTCCACATGAAATTGGTAAAGAAAATTGACAAGATAAGAAACGAAGAGCGTAAAAATCATAGTACGAACGACGATCCAAACTAAACATCGAAAAATTAGAATGAAAGATTTGGAATCATATTCATGTTCAATATTTAACGGAAAGACGAAAATTGGATTTTATTACACAATTGGAATCACAAGCTACATTACCAAATATTGCCAAATATTAAGCTTTATTTTGTCGAAAGGACAGAAAAGAAAACACGAATTTTGTCAAATTCGATTCGATTGTAGAACAATCACTCTTTTTTATTTGTCCTTTGTTTATCCTAGTAAGAAAACACGTTAGTCATGTTGTGTCAACGAAATCTTATTGTTTTAGAAATGTTTCAATGCACTCGTTGAAATCTCCCTTACACGACTCAGTTGCTCTCATTGCTTGATATTTTTGGACACCTTACTTCACTCGACTAGTCCCCATATAAGAACGTAATTATATTCCAAATAAACAAAGTCTAATGGGGTTAAGAATAACAATGAGAAAAACGTTAGTATACTTATAATTTTGCACGAGAAGTTTCTAGTTCTCTTCAGTTATTTGCTAGCGGTGATTGTCTAAAAATGTCCAGTCAACGTGCTTCAACACAATCCTGCATAGAACATGCATTAATCTAATCTATATACCTCTAATACTTCCCTTTTGAGTAGATTTGTTGGATCTAGTGTTAGCATCCACTTGCAACCATATGACTCGTGTGTGCTTTCTATTTATCCACTTTCTAGGCAATAAAGAAATGGTATCACTCTACTTGCACAGAGACTGACCTATCTGTTTCAGGGGTTTGAATCTCAGAGGTGTTCAGCAGAACACTAAGAGGTAATCTACGTCAGTTCTCATTGCTGGCAATCGAAGTTGCTTTCATTCGGTTAGCATGACGTACCCAAACTTCTGATCCATCTGATACTTCATAAACCTCATTTCCTTTCCTTTGCACGACTTGATCAGCCAAAGATCCATGGAGGATGTTTGCCATTACAGTCCATAGCAAGTACTTTTTGACCCATGGTGGGTAATCATCTTTTTAATCCATGATGTCAGTTGAAGTGTTTCTTCATCGATCTGTTCCGTTGAGGATCAAGGTCGGGGATAAGACGAATAGCATCTGAATATTTATGTACTTTCCTGCCAAGTAAAGTTTCAGTTGTAGAGATTCCTTTAATTGTTTGAGGTTTTGGGGTAGGACCATAGATGATCAGGAACCTCCCTGAAACCTTTCACATGGTTTCCTCCTCATTTGATTTCTGCAGAGCACCAACAAGCCATTCTACTTGACTATCGGGTTGAGGATGGGATGGATACGTTCGAAAATGATCGATTCCATTCCGCCAAAAAATTCTGAGGTTGAAGCACATAGTCTGCGTCCTTAAAACTGCTGAGGCTCTGCGTAGCAGATCTTTGAGGGCCACCCTTTTAGGTGGAACTTTTTAATTTATTGTAGGACTTGGTCTTGGGGAGATTCTCCTTTTACCTTATCTGATGACACTGGTAGATGAGCTTTCACCATGGTGGAGTGATCAAAATCAACTTGAAAATGCCGGAGCAATTTTTTCCCTTCCACCCATTTTTGTTTGAGATATTGGAATTTTTAATGGTGTGCACAGCGCATTACAGACACGGTTAATTGGTTCATCCAATATTAAAAGTTTTTCTAATATATCTAGGCCAAAAAGATCGGAGTTTGGTCAGTCTGTTAGAGAACATATTCCTTTAATTCGGCTGAAAGAAAATTCCCACTGTTGTTCACTAACAGGTTTCAACACATTACTTGTCTTCTTAGTTGGTTTGATTGCTAGTTTCCCATGAAGTTCATACGTTCCTCTAGATATCAGGATCATATCGTATGCCGTTTCAATTTGAAGACACGTTGATGTGCCGTTAGTTAGGATAGTAACACACTTCCTCCGAATGTTATAGTTTGTTCTAGATGAAGTGACTAGGACTTTGTTGACTTCATGTGTCGAAGAAGTTTATACTTCTTTCTAGTTTGGGACATACTAATCATTGGACAATAGCCCTTTTTATGTCCGCCTCTGCTGAGCATCTGACATTTATGCTTCTTCAATGAGCAGAATCGTGTATAATCCCAACCACCATATAACCAACAAGCAGTCATTGGTTTGTTATAAGTTGTTTCTAATGTTCTTGGGTTCTGAGGTTTTGATCTAGTAATAACATTCACACTACTTCAGGTTAAATTCATTGTCGTGACTGATGTTCTTCAGCCGTTTAGACTCATCCATCAGTGTTCTGAGTTTGATTTTTGGATCTTGACCTAGTCGAGTCAAAAATCTTGTCTTAATCTCAGCATCTTATGATGACTGAAGAGCTGTGATGAATATTAGGTATTTCAATTGGTCCTCCGTCAATGAGCGCAACTTGGACTGTTCACACTCGCTGTTTATGACATTTGCTAGAGCACTATAATCACCATCTTCACGTCTCACCAAATTTAGAAACTATCATCGAATACCAAACAATGAAGACGATTCGACGAATATCTCTGAGAGTTAGGTTACTATTTCTTCGAAACTAAGCTTTCGTGGTAAACTCGACAGTGAGTGGTCAACGTAGCGTGTATATTCACTTCTCCCTAACTTCCTCATCAGTAATCGAGTCTTCCAAACGTCATCTTGTTCGCAGAATTCTATTCTAAGTAACTGCTTCTGTGAATTCGATGTTCATTTTGTTGTGCTAATGAAGTGTGGCAACTTGGACCGATGCATATATATGCCTGGTCCTACGTTGTAGCTGAGTGACTGTATCTTCTCAATTGTTGAATTGCTTGAAGATAGTATTCCCACTTTCAGGGTCATAAATGAATTCTGAAATACTTCTGGCAACTGTATCACAAGAAATAGTTCACATAGCATATGAACTCGAACAGTGAATATGTGTCAGAGTTTATAACAACTAGGTTTGTGAATTAAGTTGTACTTGCTACTGTTATACAATTCGGTTGAGTTGTTCATCTGATATATGCATCTTCAGTGTGTTTCCCTTTTTTCCCCCTATCATCACAGTTATATATAATGTTATTCGATCCAGCTATTCTTATTGTTTAATATTCTTCAGACATTTTGTTTTAGTTTACTAGTCTTCGAGTTTCTATCCATGTAAAAATTTATCATTCTTTCTTTGTTTTTGTTGTTGTTTTATTCTACAGAGAATACGTTCAACGTTAAATGAACGTGAACAAAGAAATACATTGAAAGATTTAGATGTTGTTATGAATTCAGCAAATTGTCCAAATATTGTTCTATTTTATGGTGCAATATTTACAGAAGGTGATTGTTGGATATGCATGGAAATGATGTCTACATCATTAGATAAATTTTATAAATTTGTTTATAATTATTTACAATCACGAATCCCTGAAAGTATTATTGGGAAAATTACTACAGCTGTAAGTTATATGTTATATATGTATATATGTATTTAAATATTTGATTGTTTACCTCTTTCCTTCAATGTTATCTAACTGTGATATATTTTTATTATTATTTATTTAACACATAAACATTGGTACAAGGAGGCACCAACTAGATATGCGCTACATAAATCTTTCGATTTGTGTGAAGTCTGTGATACTATCCGGATGCCCAGACCGAAGCAGGTGGTTTTCTTAGGGGGTCACACCCTGAGCCTTTGACCTAAAGGTCTGACTCGTAAGGCAGTGGAGCATCGTGAGGAGATTCAGTCCCATGGTAGCCGGTGATCAACGATTGGTTCATACGCCATTTGTTCCCACAGGATACCATTGGTTTGGAATCCGGTTAAAGCGCCGGACATTCGCTTTTCGTCCTCTCAGTTTCGTAAACAATACCCCCGCCACGAGAAGGCAGTGAGTAGGACTTCCCTGGCAGAGGCTGTATACGTGTGGCCGTGTGAGAGCATTTCGAGAGGGAGAGCGGTCTCTCCCCACTCTCGGCCGTACCAGGGCATTTGCGGGTATGATTTGTAACATGCTTTATCGAATACCAAAGTAAGTTCTTCAATCTTGTTTTCCTCTTAAAAGTGAACAAAAATCATTTGTTATGAATTATAATGGTGTAGAGGCTAATTTCCTTTATATCTGACTCCAATAAATAATATCCTGTTAACTGACTATTTAACACAAGCTAAATCTCCTGGTAGAATTATGGGTTTACTCGAGATTATTCAAAAGCCTTAACACCAGTCATAGAGATTATTAGTAAAGATTAGTAAAATCCGCAAGCGTACAGGGAGCAAGCACAAAGAGAAATCAAGTGAGTATGAGTTTGTGTTAAAAATCCATGTATATTTAATGAGTATTAATCGATCGTGGGTAAATTATAGATTGTCTGTGTGCTACAACCAATGAAAGAATAAATTAAAGATTAATGTGCAGAACGCTCTCAGCTCAATCAGACTCACATACAAATTTACACAGTGGATTGAGTGTCTAAATTACAGTGATCAGATAAATAATACAATAGTTGAATGGGCTTACTATAATAGTTTTCATGTTAAATCTTTGCCTATTGAAATTTTCAATATTATGATAAACACAATATGTATTTTGCTCAATCACTATCACGTGTTTGATCACGGTAAATAATCTTCAATATAAAATATTCAATATCGCATTTTGTATCAATTCAACTTGCGAATGCCCTGGTGCAGTCGAGGATGGGAAGAGTCCGCTCTCTATCTCTAATTGTTCCCACATGGTCGCGTGCATATAACCACTGCTAGGAAAGTCCTATTCACTGCTTTTTTGGGACGGGGGTGTTGTTTACGAAATTGAGAGAACGAAAACCGAATGTCTGGCGCCCTAACCGGGTTGGTGAACACGTAGAGTCTACTTATCGGAGTTAAGGAACCCTGATTTCAAACCAATGATGCACATGGGCTCCAGTATCCTGAAGGAAAAAATGGCGTATGAACCAATCGTTGGTCACCGGCTACCATGGGACTTCATCTTCTGATGTCGCTCCACTGCCTTGTGGATCAGTGTGAGGACGGTCCGCGAGTAAACTCGAGGAAGCTCTAAGAAGCTCAGAATGAGCCAAAGATAATTTATCCAATCATCTTTGAGAAGAATATTCCAGAATCACTACGTGTAGCTTCCCTTTTAGATAAAGTTAGTAACCCCCTGTGTGCGGATTGGATAACTATAATGATGGTTCCGTTTTTATTAAAAACTATGAATACCTGACAGTTTTGTACCATAATTGACACTGTTTGGAATCACATTTCTTCCACTTGTCTTCTGTCTTCTCATTTACGACTTGGGAGGGTTCTAACGTTCGAGTGCTCACAAATATAAGCTCTAGGTATAACAATTAGACACTTAGGTCGAAGGTTCCGGGTGTAGCTCCTTAAGAAAATCACCTGCCTCGATTTGGGCACCCGGACCAGTATCTCAGCCCTCACATAAATCGAATGATTTATGTGGTTCATATCTATTTAGTGCCTCTTTGTACCAATGTTTATGTGTTTAAATCAATAAATAAATCATACTTTTATCATATTATACCCTTAAGGTAATACAAATAATCGATTTATGGTATAAAACTGAACTGTTCTTGTGCATTAGTTTGATTAAAAATATTTACTTATACGGCATAGTGATGCTTTGAAATGTTTTCAGTCCGATAAAAGCACTGTGTTCACTATTGTAAAATTTAATGTAAATGATAAAAAAAAATGGTTCGTATAATCATGTGACAGTTGAAATGTACATTAAAGATTGTTCAGTCACCATTCTTCTATAGTATTTTCGACGAGACTCTAATTTAGGGGCGATCCTTGAACGAATCTTGAATGACCTTGACAATTTTTAGCCAATCAGAATACAGTATAAAGTGAAAATATATTATAAGTAATGAATTACAGTGGATATTCTTCTTTTACATGATTAAAAAACTTGTTAAGGTTTGATAAAGGTTCAGAGGTTCTGAATTCATAATGCATATGGTATAGAAACTCGTCCATAGGGTTAAGGTTAGGGTTTGGGGTTAAGGTTAGCGTTAGGGTGCTAACATGCGATCGGTTTACAACGGATTTTAGAGGTTAGGGTTAGGGTTTAGTGTTAGGCTAAGGGTTAGGGTTAGGGTAAGAGTTGTAGACTCTCAATAAACACCTCTTCTCTAAAATCCGTTGTAAACCGATCGCATGTTAGCACACTAACGTTAACCCTAACCTAACCCTAATACCCTAACCTAACCCTAAACCCTAACACTATGGATGAGTTTCTATACCGTATGCATTATGAATTCAGAACTTCTGAGCCTTTATGAAACCTTAACAAGTTTTTTAATCATGTAAAAGAAGAATATCGACTGTAATTCATTACTTTCTTATAATATATTTCTACTTTATTCTGTCTTCTGTTTGGCTAATAATCGAAATTGCTCAAACACTTCTCATTGGCTCTTCCCTAAATTAGAGTCTCGCCGTCCCATCTGTTGTAACCTCTCATTAATCACCTCCTCTCTAAAATTCGCTGTGAACCGATTGTATGTTAGCATCGCGAGTTGAACTTGGCTCTTTGACCTTGAAATTGCTCAAACGCTTCTGATTGGCTCGTCCCCAAATTAGAGTCTCGCCGTATTTTCTAGCTGAAGTCAAACAGAAATACAACTTTTATTTGGAAAACTTACTTACTGTCGATGTAAATAATTTAAAGAGAGCAAGAACAATGATTGGTCCAAGTTAGAAAAAAGTAACAAAGACTTAACTGATTCCACTGAGAAAAGAATCATGAAAAATCCCCAAAACACATACCGATAGAATCGACACAGGAACTCAATTTGAGAATTTATTTGATCAAATTAAAAGAGTTAGTAAAGAAAAGAAAGGATGGTTTAAATCTAAACTATTCAATATCACGAACCAATATCTCTTTTCACCCACACAACAACCTAAACTTCTATCCAAAAACCACCTAACAGCATTACGAAATATTAAGCGAAATGATGATATAATGATATTACGGTCAGATTATGTCTCTAAGATGAAGTCGATTTTGAGTGACCACATGAGATTCAAGTTATAAAAAGTAACAAAGACTTAACTGATTCCACTGAAAAAAGAATCAAGAAAACTGAACCAATCTTTGTTCTTGCTCTCTTTAAAATAATAAAGGGAACTATGTGTAGTAAATTTAGTTGTGGTTATTAACCGTATGGTTGGCTTAAGATCAAATTAGTAGTTGTCGGTTTTCTTCATAAACCAAATTGTCATATTCACGTGATATTCTATTTTATTAAGTTTCATAATGTTCCAGATAAGTAACTGTGAAGTCAAGAAAAAGGTATTCTCTAGTCTGTATTATTCAAGAATCATTACTGATATTTTGCTTTGGTAATTGACCTCAGTAAGCTTAATAATATGACCTGGACAATGTCTGTACACTATTGAAGAGTCATTTGTAATTTTTAAATAAATGGAAAACACGAATTGTGGTATAACGTATATATTATTGATTACTGTAGAGATAGATATATATTTGCAAATGTACCCTATTTGAGGATGAATTTTCACTACAAAGGAAAACTCTTCATTGGACCAATTTTTCTTGTTTGTTTTCATATCTTAATGTGTGTTCTTTATAGTGAATACTTCCATTTTAATCTTAATACGACCGAGTTTATTTATTTATTTAAACATATAAACATTGGTACAAGGAGGCACCAAATAGATATGCGCCACATAAATCATTCGATTTGTGTGAAGGCTGGGATACTGACCGGGTGCCCAAATCGAAGCAGGTGGTTTTCTTAGGGGGCTACACTTGGAGCCTTCGACCTAAATGTCTGATCCACAAAGCAGTGGAGCATCGTAAGGAAATTCAGTCCCATGGTAGCCAGTGACAAACGATTGGTTCATACACCATTTGTTCCTTCAGAACCCTGTAGTCCATGTGCATGATTGGTTTAAAATTGGGGTTTTCCAACTCCCCTAGGTGGATCCTCTGTGTTCATCAACCTGGTTAAAGTTTCAGATATTCGCTTTCCGTCCTCTCAATTTCGTAAACAACACCGGTGCCTCGAGAAGGCCATGAGTAGGACTTCTGTGTTAATGGTTGTGTTTCCGAGCGAAGATTAAATCACGAGTAACTTCTCAGACATATTAATTGACTAATATTATCTATACATTCTTATGGTATAACTATTCAATAATTAGATTATATATATTTATATTCCTCTTATTATAAGCTTTATTTTGACCTCAAATTTATTATTGTACGATTTACGGTTCTTAAGCAATGTTCAGTTTATTGACTACTGCCTCCCACGTTAACAGCCACATTTGGCCAAATATTGTACAAATGTTATTTTCTATTTTTATGATACGTTGTGGTCTGTCTGGTTGATATATAAACCGAGTATGTTTGAAATAAAAGATTTATATTGCAGAAGCTGGTGTTTGTGTTCTAGACTCAAGTGGACGGGTGGACCAATAAGGACGCTAGATTGCTCATATCGGTAGAACGTCATTGGTTTGACACAGTGCTAAGATTGTATAAGTCGTGTTTTAATTGTTGGATAAATCACGTGATAAAAGCCGGACATAAAATCATAACAAGTTGTATGCACGTGGCTATGTGAGAGCATTTGAAGTTGAAGTGCTGACTCTCCCCACTCTCAGCTGTATCAAGACATTTGATAACACAAGTAGAGTGTACTAGACAATAAGAATTGACAGGAACTATGATTCCTATAATGGTTACATTCTCTGAGCAGCCTGTGTTCCATTAAAACTTAAGAATACAAAAAGAATAATTAACCATATTTTACTTTGAATCAACTTGTATTTAGTATTTTTTTAAAAAAAGATTTCAAAATTCTTTATCACTTTTAATTAATTTAAACTTACATCAGAGAAATGACTGATTAGTTTGATCAATAGAATAAATTATTTGATCAGATCATTCTAATCACTTTGGTATATGAAACGAGATCTACCAGTAGAAAACTTCTTATTCTTCTATTTGACTAATCGGTTACATTTTTAATGTCTTACTTAATAACATAAGAATTTAAAATATTGAAAATGAATCACTTTTTACATAGAAATAAAATAATGATTATATATGTGTAAGTGATTAAGCATTTATTAAGATATGCGAAGGTCATACGTTCAATTCATGACAAGGATTGTAGTTACTCACTACTCAAGAATCTCATAATAGAATTAAATGAGGTTTTACCATTGTGCTTTGATTTTAAAATGATATTCTAACAATGATCAATCCATGAAGAATATAACCTATAAGTTAAATCACTCACTACAAAACATCTTTTCTTTTAGATTGAGTTTTGTTCTCTGAACTAGATGGTTTATTTGGTCGTGGAGCTTTCTACCGGAAGTGTGTGCTTATGATGTCGTTCAGAAGAATGATGAAAGCTCTACAACCAAACCATCCAGCTTAGAGAACGAAATTTCATCAAAATCATCCACCTGAGCTACAAATCTTCACCATCACAAAACATCTTCAAACAAATTAATCATACATTTAATCGATCTATTATTGTTATTATTATTATTATTATTATTATTATTATTATTATTATCTTATTTCGTTCTTACCAATTTTTTTTTCTTTTACATATAAAAAGACTGTTTCAGCACTTGATTACTTGAAAACTGCTCTTAAAGTCATTCACAGAGGTAAGTAAGCATGATGTAGTAGTAGTAGTAGTCGCGGTGGTGGTTGTAGTATGAGTAGTAGTTAATGTTGTATGGAAAAATTCTCAAGGGGATTGATATACACGTTACTTTTGCTATTTACACTATCTTATCTTAATAAAACAAAAGTTTATGCTTTAACATCTAGTCTCTAAACTATTTTTTTGTTAAAACTTAGTTCTGGTAATTCACTTGGTATTGTTTGGCTTGTATCTTCCCATTGAGGTTTAAGACTGCAATTGTTCAGTCTGTTATTGGCATAAGTGAATACTATGCGTATGCCTAGATATTGCCTTAATTCACAAGCTTTTTGTAAGCAATAATGGATAGTGGCTAGCAGTGAAATCCAGGACGCACGTTTTGTTTTATTAGTTCTGGTATTTTTATAAAGATCGATAATAATTTAGTTGAAGTGCTGAAATATATGCTAATCGATTTACTAGTTTTCTTTTCACTAGTTTATTTGATTCGATCCATTGAAGTGGGTGTTGGAAGGTTCTTAGATTGTTTTTTTCTTATATTAACCTTTTGTGTTTTCTTACTTACTTACCTACTTACGCCTGTTACTCCTAATGGAGCATAGGCCGCCGACCAGCGTTCTCCAACCCACTCTGTTCTGGGCCTTCTTTTCTAGTTCCATCCAATTCTTGTTCATTTTTCTCATGTCTATCTCCATTTCTCGGCGTAATGTGTTTTTTGGTCTTCCTCTTTTCCTTTGGCCTTGAGGATTCCATGTGAGGGCTTGTCTTGTGACGCAGTTGGGTGCTTTCCTCAATGTGTGTCCTATCCACTTCCAGCGCTTCTTCCTGATTTCTTCCTCCACTGGGATCTGGTTTGTTCTCTCCCACAGCAGGTTGTTGCTAATAGTTTCCGGCCAACGGATTTGTGTTTTTTTAGTTCTTATTCATCTTTCGATATAGGATTGTTTTCAACTCATTCCTACATTTTAATTATATCTGATTCAATGAAGTATATTTCTCAAAGAGTATTCGTTATGTATAGAACACATTAAAAATCAAGAAGCATTAGATAATCATCTTAATTCTATTAATATATTTGTTCATTTAATATCGTACGGTAGTAGATTTTATCCATAAATCATGTGTGTAACGTTGGTGGCATAGTATCATTCAGTAATTTAACGGGTATTTATTCATTAGTTCGCATTTCTTCCGTGTATCATGGTTTCCAAAAAGATCTTCAATTAATTTGAATCCATAAAGAAAATTGTCTATTTTCAAACGGTTACCAGTGTTTACATCATTAATGTACATAAGTTTGATGAATATAATGACTGATTTAAGTATTTTCTTTGCTTATCATCGGGTCAACATTTAGACGCTTACTTTTCCTAACAAAGTGTCAAGAATTAAATAGTATTATACGCAATTACATTTATGTTTATGATGAATAGTCTAGTTTTAATTACTTACTTACTTACACCTGCTACCCTTCGAGGAGGAGCATAGGCCACCCACCTAGATTCTCCACCGAACTCTGTTCTGTACAGTTCTTTACAATCTACAAGCAAATTATTACATAACATTCCACTATTTAATTGTTTTGTTTTTTCTAATTTAGAAGATTTATGAAGGTCGTTGAATTTTTTATAGTTTTCATCCACAGACTAAATGTACCGAAACAAACATAAAAAATCATCAAGCACATGACAGGTATTTTATTTCAGTATAGAAATCTTCAGTGGCATGCATCCATAACTTTACCAGACATCAAACCCAAGGACAGAGTCTAACTATCAGATCACTAAGCACGTATACCATGGTTTACATTTCCGACTTCAATCATGTGTTCACTATTGACTAACATGTAGAGGTAATTTCTGAAAATTAGGCATTTACCTACCTATCGTATAAGATGATGATCGCGCAATAACACAAACGTGTTTAGGTTAGGCATTGAAATTATCAGATAACCAGCTGAGTGACCTGATAGTTAGTCACTCGTCGCGGTACCTAAAAGGTCCAGCACTCTATCCATGGTAACAGAGTCGTATATGCATGGTAATGAAGAGCCAGATACTAGGACAAAATATCTGTCTATTACTTCTTAGTTTTCTATTTTTATTTGGCTATAGTAGGTTTGTGATGTAAACCACATGAAAATAACAATATTTTATTTTGTACATCATTTGTCGACCACATAGATGTAAAACCATCAAATATTCTGATCGATTGTAACGGTAATGTGAAATTATGTGACTTTGGTATATCTGGTCAGTTGGTTGATAGTATTGCTCGATCACGTGATGCTGGTTGTAAACCGTATATGGCGGTAAGCTTTAATTAACTTCCTTGTTTATTTGTTTTTCGTAACTTTCTCAGATTTCTTATTTATTAGTCTATATATTGATCTAAATCAATGATTTATGTGAAATTAAATAGATTACAACTTTAGTTATATATACTTAATGGAAACCAGGAAGTACTGAAAACCTGTTATGTCCTATTGTGTGACTCTTTGTCAGTACGTATCTACGACCATAACCAAGGATTGAGTGATGAACTGTTAGCAACTTGGATAACCCTCTCGGTCTACCACATTGTACTAGCATTCCATTTAGTTAAATAAATGGTTGTTCTGGTTTTCAAAAGGGGCATCAGCCCCGTGACTTCCGAAGGAACTCGGCTTTCACCATGAGGCGTCATAACTCTTCTAAATGAAGACCTTCTGACTCCCAGGGCAGAGATTAAATGGTTTGAATTATTTTTTCTGGTTAGCGTTTTTTTAGCGAGTTAGTTTTGTATGGGATGGGGTCGTTAACCCCATATTCGACCCTCCTCCTTTATCCGGGCTTGGGACCGGTGGTAGCCCCAGAGGGTCTCCAGGCGGAGTTATGAACTATTAGGTCTTATGAAAAACGCTAAACTTTTAAGTCACTAGATTGGAATTAAATGTTATACATTTCTAATTTCAATCATGGCGTGCCTCAGAAGATAGTCAATGTCATACATAATTCGTATGATGGATTAAACTGCAAAATCGTGCATTGAGGACAGTTGAAAAAGTCGTTCGAAGTAAAGACCGGTGTCAGGTAAGGCTGCTTACTCTCACCCTTTCTCTTTCTCCTGGTGATCGACTGGATCATGAAGACGTCAACAACTGAAGGAAAGCACAGGATACAGTGGACATCTAGGATCCAGTTAGACGATCTATACTTCGCAGATGAACTGGCACTTCTATCCCAAACGCAACAACAAATGCAGGAGAAGACGAACAGTGTAGCAGCAGCCTCAGCAGCAGTAGGTCTCAATATACACAAAGGGAAAAGAAAGATTCTTCGATACAACACAGCATGCACCAATCCAGCCACGACTGACGGAGAAGATTTGGAAGATGTAAAAACCTTTACATATCTGGGCAGCATCATTGATGAACAGGGTGGATCTGATGCAGATGTGAAGGCGCGGATCGGCAAAGCAAGAGCAGCATATTTACAACTGAGGAACATCTGGAACTCAAAGCAACTGTCAACCAATATCAAGGTCAGGATTTTCAATACAAATGTCAAGACAGTTCTACTGTATGTGGCAGAAACCTGGAGAACTACGAAAGCCATCATCCAGAAGATACAGGTGTTTATTAACAGTTGTCTACGCAAAATACTTCGGATCCGTTGGCCGAACACTATTAGCAACAACGTACTGTGGGAGAGAACAAACCAGATTCCAGCGGAGGAAGAAATCAGAAAGAAGCGCTGGAAGTGGATAGGACACACATTGAGGGAAGCACCCAACTGCGTCACAAGACAAGCCCTCACATGGAATCCTCAAGGCCAAAGGAAAAGAGGAAGACCAAAGAACACATTACGCCGAGAAATGGAGATAGACATGAGAAAAATGAACAAGAATTGGATGGAACTAGAAAAGAAGGCCCAGAACAGAGTGGGTTGGAGAACGCTGGTCGGCGGCCTATGCTCCATTAGGAGTAACAGGCGTAATTAAGTAAAATGATTTCAATCACATTGCCATTTCTCATTCTGGTTAAATAAAAATATAAGTTTTAAACAAAAAATTGTTAATATTTATCTCATTCATTTGTTCTTCTATAAAATAATATCAAGACAATTAAAGTGTACATATGCGTGTGTATGAGTAACTCTGTTATTTACAATACAATTCGTTTTTACCGTTATTTCTAATATCTAGGGTTGTATACTAAGACATGTTTAAACAGTTTTCTTGTCAGGGTTTGGATTTTACTGTAAGAAAGTCTCATTTGGCTAATATTAACCCTCTAATAAATATATACACACAGAGATAAAGAGAGGGAGAGAGCGCGTGCTAAACGTAAATACACATTCACCACTGTTTAATGACTATATATCCTTTTTTTAATGAGAAACCTTTCAATTTTAAGATGAAAACTATGGTGAATGTGTTTTGCAACGAATAAAATGTATATTCTCCATTATCACTTTTGAATATAAAACAATATGTTCAATGCTAACTCATATCTATACGTATTATGTATTTGAAAAGAACCAATCATGTGAAATATTAAAGTTGCATAGTAGCTAACAGCGTGATCCAATACGTTCGTTTCATCTGGCTTAAGACTTGTTAACCGGAGGTGCTTGAATCTCCCGGCTTTATGTTTACACTAGGAGTTGAAGCACACAGATACCGAACATATAAAAGTGTGAAAGAATTACACCGATTTATTACTGTGTTATAACTGATGTTATATATTGCGCCTAACATTCTTAGCATTGATAAGATAAATAGCTTGACTAAGGTTATTGAATTATGCATATTACATATAATTAACCAGCGCTTACTTCGACCCGTGAGTTTTACTGGTGTAGGAGTGGGTTGGAAGAAAGCTACGAGCGGTCAAATTAAAAATAACACTCGTCCATATAGTCACTAATTTCTAGACTAAGCTATGTCGGTAAGTAAGTGTGTATATAATAACCGCGATTGATGTTTGGAGAGGCGTTGAATTTCGTGGGTCAGAAGCGGTAACGGTGGGCGTAGTTATATTCAATCTCTTTCGCTTTTTGGACTGAGTTTTGAAGTTATCTCATAACCTTTATCCTGTAAATCATTTTTGTCAAATAATATTGTCTATACCTGATCTTTTATACCATTACCACTGATGTTACTAGCTTCCACTACCCTGACAGTTTTCTTGATAATTTCAAGTTCTGTGTTATTTATAACTGCTTAACTAACCTAAATAACTCAACATAATGATGGGCTATGCTTGATTTTGAATTATTATATAAATGGTCAACAGAAACCTTTGTAGTGACATAAGTTTGATGCTGGGTGGTACTTTTCAGTAAAACATATCTATCTAAAAACTTTGAAAAACACTAGTGACCCTCCAATAGTTCTGGAAAAAACTCAATCACTGTTCTCTACTGTCATAGATGTTACAAATAAGCTGTTCCATATGTTATTCTCAATTTTCATGATTCTAGATACATCTTGCTAATGGCTCTCAGTTAATACGAAATTAAAGTTCAGATACTTAGTGGGAATTCAATGTCCTTATACATTTTTGAAGTTCCATTTTTTTTCTGTATTATGGCTTAATTGACTCTTCTGAGTCGTTAAGTTAGGACTTAAAATCTACCTAAAAGTTACACCACTTCATACATAAATTCGTAACATCAGTGATTCAAAACTTGTCAGTATCCTAGTTGTATTGTGTGTACATTTGCTGAGGAGTCTAACTGGAACAAAATGACTATCTATTACTTCCCTTTTGGTTTCATGTATTAGTGGATTAGTCATTAAAGCAGCTAGTTCACCTTGAACAACCTTTATTGGGGTATAATATTATTAACTCTTGCAGGAAAGAAGTATATTGCACAAACTAGTATTATCTACTTACTAAGTTATTGTGATCATTGAATCGTTGTTTTGTATGATTAGTTTTTTTCTTATTCGTGTAATTGTTATGCCCCGATAAGCATAATGAATGGTAACTTTTGGGATCCATTTATGGACCAATACTATGCGTTTATTTTTATCGTATAATTGTTATGTAACTGAACTATTCATATTCATGTCCCTCTTATCACAAGCTTGACCTACAGACTATTATTATACGATTTACCATTCTTGAGTTATACCCAGTCTATCAATTACTACCTCCCTCGTGCACAGCCACATTTGACTAATTATTGTACAGATGATGTTTCATATTTTATGGTACATTTTGATCTGTCTGGTTGGTATATAAATTCAATATGCTTCATTTCACAGAGACTGAGATTTGTGTTCTGGATTTAACTGGCTGGGCTAAGCAGGAAGCAGGACCAATAAGGACTCTAGACTGCTTATATGGGTTTACACGTCATTGATCTGGTCGATAATTCACTGCTCACTAATTGGCGATATTCTTTACGTTATACATTAACAGGACTCACAGGCCACAAGTTATAACAGTAATAAAGTTTTAATTTTATACCAATGAATTATTCTTTATTTTTATTATTATTATTATTACTGTTATTATTATAGCCAGAACGTATTCATCCAGAGTTAAGTGCTAATGGTTATGATATACGTTCAGATGTATGGAGTTTAGGCATTACTTTGATTGAATTATCCACTGGACAATTTCCTTATCCATCATGGAATTCCGTATTTGAACAACTCACTTGTGTATTAGATAATGATTCACCTAGTTTACCGGAATACTTACCAAAATCTATTCAAACTTCATCATCAACTACAACACTTGTCAATATTGAATATTCCAATAATTCAAATGAATCTTATTCATCATCATCAACAACAACAACAACAACAGATTTTTCATCTGAATTTCGTAATTTTGTCTCACAGTGTTTAGAGAAAGATGTGAGATGTCGACCGAAATATCAAGCACTTATGGTTTGTTTTAACCTTTTCTATTGTATTTTTGATCATGTTTCTTTTATTCTTTGTATTTACACATAGTTTACCTTTAATGTATTCTTTAAGCTAAGGTAGTTTATCAAACTAATTAGCGGATAGTTTTACTTGCAAAGTTCCAAGCTTTGCTAAACCAAGTTAATCTTAAAAATGTTAAATATTCACTGGTTATTCATAGTAGTAATATAATTGACGAGAAAGAAATTATAAATTTATATATTTATCATTTTATTTAGATACATGAACATTGGTACAAGGAGGCACCAGATACATATGCACCACACAAATCTCATTTGATTTGTGTGAGGGCTGTGATACTCTCCGGGTGCCCAACTCGAAGCAGGTAGTTTTCTTAGGAGGCCACACCTGGAGCCTTCGACCTAAATGTCTGATCCACAAAGCAGTGGAGCATCTTAAGGAGATGCAGTCCCATGGTAGCCGGTGACCAACGATTTTTTCATACGCCATTCGTTCCTTCAGAATCCTGTAGCCCATGTACACCATTGGCTTAGAATGAGGGTTTTTTAACTCTCCTAGGTCATTCTCCATGTCCACCAATCGAATTAAAGCGCTGGACATTCGCTTTCCGTTTTCTCAATTTCGTAAACAACACCGGTGCCTCGAGAAGGCAGTGAGTAGGACTTCTGTGTTAGTGGTTTTATTCACGTGGCCATGTGAGATCATTTGGAGATGGAGTGCTGACTCTCCCCACTCTCAGCCGTACCAGGGCATTTGGGGGCTTAAGCGTAAATGCCCACATTAATATGAAATTTCTTGTTGAATTTAAAATTTTTAACTGTTCGATGTCTTTAAAGTGTTCCATATATAAAATAATGTCGATTAATATACAATAGTGATAAGTCTGTGCGGATTAAACGCTATATTCGTCTACTAAGTTATTCTGTAACCCTCAAGCTAGAACTATACAGTGACCTGAACACGAGAGAGAAGAATCAAAGTATGCGAGAAGTAGTTTACTCCAAGGTTCATTTTAATACAGAAAATACAGGGTTTTTATAATATTTTAAATGTCGTTGGTTTGCTAGAAGATTCTGGAATGCTACTAAACATAATAGCAGTGTAGCAGCCAACGAATCAGAGCATCTGCATGTGACGTTTCGCTTCCTTGATATTTTTAGCTAAGACTTCAAGTGAACGCTGATTGGATGAAACGCTTCTTAGTGTTTCCTGATGCTTGCTTGTCTTTTGCAAGCAATTTTCTGGATCACCCCAACAAATGGCTACATTGATATAGACGATAGTAAAATCACCATTGAAAATGTTTCATAATTGACTGGTCTTGATTTGTGTTCTTATTTCTGAGATGATGCCTTCAGGTTAAAATAGTCATCAATAACAGTCTTTCTCAGATTGTCTAAGAGAAGAATATTCACATTGTGAAATGAACACTTTAAGTAGGTTATTTTCTAGATCGTATCAAATAACCCCGCTAATATTCACCTTAATTTCCAATTAGAGCGTGGTATTCATTTATTTAGTAGTTAAGATATTCAACTTTAAACTTATTATTGTTCACATTTAAGTACTATTTCTTCAACTTCAGTATTGCAATAAATGTCATACAATCAAAGTGGAACTAAAAAACCGACCACTCATTTAACATTTACATGGTGTATGAGTCGGTTACATTCATCGCTTAAAATATCTGAAATCATATTCTTGAGAAGGAATCTTAGTGAAAGATTGAGAATTCAGTAGACTAAAAAGATGTAAAACCTGTAAATCTTTCTCAGTTGTCTAGACTTAAAAAGCAAAGGTACTTAATAACATTAAACTTGCACTTGGGTGGTCTTAAACGAAACCGTGTACCATGAGATTACGGTATTGTTTATTACCCCCTTATCATTTCGACATATTTATTTTTCAAAGTTTATATCATGAACTAATCTTAGTTAGGCAACCGTTAAAAACCGGGAATCATTTGATAGCTATTTTGTCCTAGTATATGTGAACGTATCAGTATCAGCAACCCCACGGGAGACGCAATAGATAACACTTGATCTCTCGCCGAACACTGGGTCTTCAGGTCACTGAGACGATATCCAGTGGTTTAAATTTCTAATTTCAATCAACTCATAACGTTTCACAATCATCTTCCAATACTGTTGGTAAGTAATTATTTCACATCCGACATGCTTAAACTTCACTGATTACGGTTTTTCATCGGACCTCCATGACTAACCTTTCAAAACTCGTCACTAATGTGTAAATAGTTATTATTTTTATTAAAACAGTAAAGTATACTTGTATCTTTTGAAGTTTTTTTTTGTGTGTACACTATTACCTTGGCGTTTAGATGATTCTCTAATATGTATGTTTTCCGTTTTCTCTTTTCCACCTTCTCTTCTCTTCACCTCCTCTATTATCGTCGTTTATAATCATCTAGCATCATCCATTCTATTTACGTTCATTAAGTGAATTTATTGACGTTGGAAAATATTTTCAATCAATATTAAATAAAGTTCCTCCTCATATGAATATGAATGAATTAAGTCAAACCCATAGTTGAAATTATGCCCTATCTAATTCTTTATTTATATATTACTTATGAATATCTTTTTGTTTTCGAAAATAACACCATGTATCATTCCAGTAACATCGTATTTATTCAAACAAGAGATTTGATCGCGTAAAATAAAATCCTTTTTCTGTTTTAAATTTCCCGCTATGCAAATATTTCATTATTATTACTTTAGATAAACACTAAAATTAAACACACATACACACACACACAATCGTTTCTCATATGTGTATACATAACTTTGTTTCATTTTCATTTTGATTATTGCAAGTTATCTGTGTGGATATGTGTATATTGAGGTGATTTGAGAGTGCCTATAACATCAAAGTTTATATGGAGTGAAATTATTCTTTATTTCTGATTGCTTCCCTCATTGTTTTTTTTTCTAGAAAAAAAACACATAACCGGTTTCATTTGTTTTCATTGAAAACTTTTTCTTATTGTATAAATTTAGATATTTATTCAGATATTACTTATGAATTTGTGCAATTATTATAAGTAGTATAATAATGGTACTATCATAACTCATTATTTTTTATCGTTGTTTGGCTTTCTGTGTACATGCGTACTTGCATAGTTCGACAATTTCTTTGTTTACTTGGCTGTGACAATCGAGTTTCTGTTAATCTATTACTCTTAGAGACATAGGCGCCATCATTATATTTCAAATTTTCTATGTTTTTCCATTACTGTTTTCATTATTATTATTAATGTCATAATCATGACTTTCATTTGCCGTGTTACAACTTAAATAAATCCTGGATACTGTATTTGCTGAATGTTTTGTTATGTTATTTAGTGTGAATATGTGTAAGATCTAGTTGTCAGTCTAACAGTTATAATCACTGTAACGCCTGACACAAATTTGCATTAACCCAGGTTAGCATGTCATATTAATACAACGCTACGGAGTTTGAAAGTTTCAGTGGTCTAGTGATTAAGCGCTCGCACCCGAGACTGATAGGTCCTGAGTTCGAATCCCACGGGGCGGGATCGTGTATGTGCACTGTTGAAGAGTCTCACAATAGGACGTAATGGCCTTCCACGAAATTTAAAAAGAAACGGATAGCAAATGAATTGAAATTATTCTGATGGCAATGATTATGAGAAAGATTAAATCTTGAGAGTATTGTTCAAAAAGACGAATTAAAATAGTATACATTAAAGAATATTCGTATAAATGAGCATCAAAATAAATTTATACCAATATAAAAGAATACTGGAACTAAAAATCTTCAGTAATGTAACTATTAAATAGATCTGCACCATTGTGATCGATTCTTAGTCATATCACTTAACGTTTCGAGCCGCTAACTGCAATTATCATCTTCATCTGTGCTAGGTTTGAAGTGGTTACGAGTTCACTTAGTCTGTGAACGGAAAAAAGACTTGTGAACAATGACCAATGAACTAGCTATTCTATTGCGTCCCAGCCCTGTTAACTAGAGAGAGAAGTCGAAGTCTGAACAGGGAAGTATATTTTGCAAAAAACCAGGAGTACGAGCTATAACAACAGATACAAATCAAAACGTATATATACAGCACAAAACCGTCCTTGGGAAGCGTTACAAAATAGCATACTAAAAGACACAACGAACCAATAGTGTTTAAGATTCTCCCAAATGGGAAATACGACATGAAGCTGAAGAGAGCGCTTTTGGCGCGAAAACAAAAAATTCAAATTTTTAAAATAAAATTACAAAATTAGGACCCTTTTCAAGTGAGTTCTGTGGATCTAACGTCCCCAACAACCTGTAAGCATAGCTCAGATAAACAGTCAATGATTTAAGATATTTATTCTATGTCTTGTTTTTGCCACCCTAAAAAAGCCTATTTGAAATTATATTTAATCTAAACTTTACTTGAAACTAAATTGTGGGCTTTTGAATAACCAATTTGTGATTTATATTCAGTGTTATCGGTCAGTAACTTAAGCACTGACAACAATGCTCAAATTCTATTGATCTATAGTTTTCTCACATAACATTGTACTAAGACATGTCGAGGCTTGTCTTTAGTAAACATAAAATCATGATTATTGAGATTTATGAAAATTGCTTTGTTTATAATTATCACCTCAGATTGTCAGTTAGTCAGTCATACAAAACGTAGAGCCTAATATATGTATTTCGGTTCAAAATATCACATTACATTAGGACACTAAAATTAGTCACAGACTATTAAAAGTAGTAATAGTGTCAATGGTCCTGGAAAAGATTAGGGATAACCAATATGATATGTGATATATATATATATGCTATATGGCTATATAGAGCTAAAGGTCTCATATGAGGCTGGAGGTTCGCCATTATTATTGTTAAATCGCATTCATTTATATACTGATTCTGTAAACAATTGATTAATACTATTGTTTTTGATTGAGATCATGAACCGATTGGTGTTAGACCATCACAATTGAAAACCTGGAAGCACCGGTCGGCCGTTTCGTCCTATTGTGGGACTCCTCAGCAGTGCGCATCCACGATCCCGCTCACGGGACAGGTATCTACTTCAGTACAACGGAAGTTGGTCGCGCAATTTCGTGGATTGGTTGGTGTTAGAAACTATCACCATTGGATGCCGGCTCAGTGGTCCAGTTGGTTAAGCGTTCGCGCGCGAGACCGAAGGCCCTTGGTTCGAATTCCGCGAGCGGGATCGTGAATGCGCACTGCTGAGGAGTCCCACAATAGGACGAAACGGCCGACCGGTGCTTCCAGGTTTTCAATTGTGATGGTCTAACACCAATCGGTTCATGATCTCAATCAAAAACATAATAATCTCCACAACCCCTATACTAGTAATACTATTATGTCAATGAAAAATTACACGGGGTAATATAATACACAAATTTTGCACCAAACAATATAAAGAATATAATTGTCACATTGGATGAAATTCCATTCCAGTCATACTGAATGAGCTTTACATTGAAGATTACAAAAAAAATATTTACCTGGAATAATGTTACAATGAGAAATTTAAAACAAATATCATACTAACTAAAATGTTACATCAAGAATGTCAAAATGTCATATTGGGAATAAAACTGATGCCTTTTATCCCAACTAATCAATTCTCCTATAGGTAATATTGTGGGGTCTATTGACATAAGTAGTATTGTGGTGTGTGTTATTGAAGTTGACAGATATAAGTAGTATGTATTGTTAAATTGAATGTGAAATGCCTGGAGGTAGAGGGTTAAGACGATTAAAATAAAGAGAACGAGAACAAAAAATGATTAGTGTTGAATCGAAATAATACATTCGATTGTCCCTACTTGTATTCTTCTTCACTACAGTATGTAATACTAATTGAAAGAGGAAAATCTGGCAATAGAAGGGTGAGAAGATCGGGTTGAAGAGAATAAAAACGGAAATAGAACGAAATTGTGAATTGAAAGAATCATACAGAATGTGACACTGACACAAAAGTCCTACTCACTACCTTCTCTCATCGGTAGTGTTGTTTACGAAATTGAGAGGATGAAAAGCAAATGGATAAGACCTCTAGGTTAAAGGCTCGAAATGTGGCCCTCTAAGGGAATCACCTGCTTTGGTTTGGGCGTCTAGGTAGCATCCGAACCCCCACATAAATCAAATGAAGTGTGGCGCAGACATATTTGGTGCCTCCTTGTACAACTGTTTATGTATTTAAATAAATAATAGAACGACGAAGCTAGTGTGAAAAAGTTGGATAATGCTATAGTCCATAAGGAGAATATAGTCACACAAGGGAAAAGCGAAGACCTATACATAGTTATTTGAGAAATCCCTGCACAGGAAATTAACTTTGTGATCGCTACTGATTTCTGTTCTGAGCAGTAACTGATAGTCATTGCAATTTTATAAGAGAGATTAACATTGACTAACAAATATTTATTAGAAATAATTATTCTTCATTTGTAGTCCCTCACTTTCCAAATAGCCTAAACGAGAATTTTTCTCAATTATCCCCAAATCTTGGCAATTTTAGAGTCATATTTAACTTTAGGCGAGAGAGAGAGAGAGCAGCAACAACATGCAACGTAATTTAACTCCCATTAGCTTTTTGAGTAATTGGTCTGGAATGTTGGTCTTCCCGATGTATATGAAAGCTTTTGATCCTCTCGTAATAACCACAAAGAAACCAGTCTAACTGAACTGGTCATTAAAGTATGAGCCTGAATAAACATTCGAGGCCTCCCCAAGGTTTGTAAACAGCAAACTAAAGGAATCTAGAGTGGATGCAGATTTGTACGTTAATATATCAGTCGAATATGTACTTTAAGCACGATTCTGGAAGTCAGGGATAATTCCTGATGGCAGGAAATAGACATTTCTTGTATCTACATACTGATAGGTTTGTAGTAGTGTTACCGAGAGGTGTTTGCTTAACCTGCTCACCATCTTCACGTTCAATTTTGTTACGTATTAAATTCAGTCATCTGAACCCTAAAAATAACAATGGGATCAGATTTGTGATGAGTTTCTCTCACACTGATTGTACAATATTGCTTCTGTAATAGTCTGCATCAAGATCTAGATAAACCATAAGCAGTGAAGTAGTAAACTACTTCACTAATCTTAGAAGTCTCATCAATTTCGGTAAGTTGGTATTTGAAATCGCTGCGCGAACTTAGTACGTTCGGTCACTTATCACTTTTAGAGCAAGCGAGATGTTCATTTCTAAATGAACGTCCAAGGCGACAGCCCATTGCTTTGAAACATGGTCTATGAAAACAAAAGATATACAAAGCTTGCATGTTTTTGGACCATTTCTAATGCATTGTGGAGAAACCAAATGAGGAAGGTTAAACACGAAATGCTAAGAAAATAAACCAAACCAGTTGATGAGGGTGAATTGTAATTGACTGGAGTAGCCAAGACATCACAAAACCCACCCTCCACCCACATCAATATGTAGTTGTGGCTAGTGTAGCAACAGGTTAAAACACTATATTGAATACTATTCCACATAAGTGTAATTGGACAAAAGTTGACACTACAAAATATGCCAATGTTTAACTTCGCTCGTAACTGTTTGTCGAAATTTATCATCAAACACCCTAACTTAAGATAACTGGAATAGAAACCTGAACCTATAAAGATGAGTATAAAAAATATTTATCAGTTCGACTGCTCCTGTGGAGCAAGTTATATTGGTCGAAGTTCCAGGAATTTACATTTTCGTGTTCATGAACACCTCCCAGAGTGTCTAAATAAAGGTTTGGTGAAGAAAGTGAACAGCTCGATATTGGTCCATTTACTACAAACTGGTCATAGTACCAGTATAAACCAATCCTATTCAATTATTTATAGAGTAATTTTTTGCATAAGCTTGGCACACTTAAAGTTCTTCAAACGGCTGAAGTAGGTAGTAGCCATCAGGATGAAGAAACCGGAGCTATACGTACAGACGAAATATCTCCAACCACTCCTCCTCTATTGGTCAATTAATCAATAGTAATCTTAGCTATTGAATGACCTAATTTGATCATTATACTTACAAACCTTCATAGTGAAATGTAATTGTCTCTGTTATCTTTATTCACAAATCTTTGTATTATTAGTATTGGTTAAACATCATTATTAATCTCCCCCATACATGATTCATTCATCCCATCTAAGTTTTCATACAATGTAGTCTTCCATCAAACATTTAATCGAAATATAACTGTACGATTATTTCTCTCTCACCCTATTTGACCCATATTTATTCGGATCATGGATCACTTAACAATTTCATTTAACATATATGCAGATTCAAGTTAACATTCCATATAAGTCATA